AAAAAAATTTGTTTTTATTTTTTAACGATTGATATGCTGCTTTCAATGCAACAAACCGCAGTTTTCTTGCTAGCAAATTCACTTCAAAGATGGATACATTGACAAAAACGTACAAAAGCAGCAATTGCACTTGTTAGCAAAGTGGTTTTTCTCGAAAAGTTATATTTGAGTTTTATGAACATTTATTTCGCGAAAATATGCCATATGCATATAACCTAAGCAGATACCTTTTCTTAAAATCTCAGACCTTTTACTCGATTTGTTCAAAAAAATTTAAGTGAAAGTTATGAAATTTTAAGTAAAAGCAACTGCTTAGTTTTTATGCATACGGACCAATGTGTTGAATGATGATTTTTCACTGCAATACTCGTATTACATGTAAATAATGGGGCTTATTCATGGTCAAAATAAAGTTGACACTAAAGTTAGTTACAGCTTTTTCACATCATTATCAGTGGAATAGGTATCTGTGAAAAAAGCTGCAACTAACTTTCTTCCTATTAGGCATGCGCATATGGATTCTTGTAGTACACACAGATGCGATCAACTACATAATTAGCAACGAAATTCAAAAGATATTGTTTGCGAATTGTGTTTGTTTATTTATTTTTAATAACTTTCTTTAAAATAGAATTCAATCTATAACAGAAACCACAATAATAAAAGTTTAAAAGCTTGCACAAATTGCATAAAAATTAATCAAACTTCAAAAAAAATTGTTATCAAGATTTAAATTTTTTTATTTTGAAATTTAGAAAATTTTCGGGTATGCAGCTTTGTAGCCCATTCAATGAAGTACACTAAAGTGCAAGTTTCTAGTCATTAAAAATTACAGTTGAATTTTTAGAATTTTTTTTGTGGAGGGTGTTCGCATTTTCTTCCATATAACACATGATCACAATTTTTTTTTGTATGAAAAGAAAACAGCAAACACCCCCACAAAAAAAAAATCTATAAAATCAATGGTAATTTTTAACAACTTTAAACTTGCACTTTCTTATACTATAATTGAATGGACTACAATACTGCATACCCGAAAATTTTCTAAATATTTTAATTAAAAATTTGGATGACCATTTCTTGAAGTTTGATTCGTTTTTTTGCAATTTGTGCAGGCTTTTAAACTTGTATTATTGTGGTTCTTGTTACAGATTGAATTATATTTTAAATTAAAATCATTAAAAATAAATAAACATAATTTGCAAACAATATCATATTGAATTTCGTTGCTAATTAGTTGATCGCATCTGAATGTATATATGTATGTACATACTTACATATGTACACATGTACCCAATACACATACTCCAAAATCATTTATTGATAACGTTCTTGCACATGCACATAATATTACATATATGTATGTACATACATACCTACTAACTTTCTTCTTATTTGGGGCTGACAAACTTTAACTTAAGAGTCGACTTTATTTCGTCTACTAATATGCCCCAATAGTTTTGGAGTCAAATGAAAATGCATTTTCTACGCATACGTATGTACATGCTCCATTAATTGATAACGTTTTTGCATGCATATATATATATATGTATGTGCATATTACTGCCAAAAAAACTACGAACATGCATATAAATGTACATATGTACAAATCACGGCAGCATACATATATATATGCACATAATTACACGTATACTCAAATACAACAATAACTATTTCATTCATAAACGCATTTGCATATTTCTCAAGGCCAAGTAAATTCATTCATAAAAACAACCGCAGCACATCTCCCCGCAAATTCATCACCAACAAGCGCAACTTTGTCAATCCGACACAAAAATTCTAAAATCTTAAAATGAAGAAATCTCGGCCAGCCAAGTGAAAATTGGCAATTATTTCTCTATATCCAGTAAAATAAGTTATCTCGAATCTTGGCAATTTTTGGTAATTTTTGACAAAACACTCTATTTCTCTGTTCCATACCAATATTTCAATCATTAACTAGTATTTTAAAGTGTCATTTTAATAAACATTAAATAAAAGTGTACGTTTTCTGCAGCAAAATACATTAATTTTTTTTTTAATAAAATCAAAACTTGTAAAATCACAAACATATGTGGTTTTATCGGAAGTTCACAGATGTAACGTGGCAACTTAGCTCGTTTTCATATTTTTCGGTCCGAAATTGTAAAATTTTTGTCCATGCCGCGCCACAATTTTTGTACAGTTGGGTCAATGTGCCTTGAACAAAATTTATATATATACAAAAAAATTATTTTATTTATTTTTTAATATTAAAAATTTCTATACTTCCAAGCGTTTATAAAAATATATTTACATATATGCACGAACGATTTTTAATATTTTTCATCCCTAAGCAAATCTTCAGTACCATAAAAGATTCAAACACATCAAAGTACAAGCAATGCAATGTTCAACCTAGTGCTACTCCACTGTACATGTGTATATGAATGTATGCATGTATGCGTGTAAAAAATGTCAATTCCAGTTGGTCTTTAACCCATTTAGCGGACATAGTTTTTTTGGTTTCAGCTGGTTGCAACTGTTAATGAAGCACAATTTTTATGTATAATCTTTATGAAAGTTACATGTATCGTCGAGAACATGGTTACATGCAGAATTTTAAATTAATTAATATTATTCACCATACAAAATGTACGAGTATTGCTTTATTAAATGCAAATATGCGAAAATCTAAATATTTCGCAAACATGGGGTTAATGGTTTCGCGCACGTGCCAATCTGGTGCCGATTCGCAGAAATTGAATAATTTGTGTGTTGATGGGAGCGGCGAGGGGAAGACGAAAGCCGACCAATCGTATATTTATATGTACATATATATGTTACATACATACATTACATACCTACATATTTACAAAGGCATGTGTATATATGTACGTACAAATTTATGCGTTTGGCTTTTTGCATGAATAGAAAATTTGATTGCAGAAATAATTTTAATGAAATTAATTTTACAAACACATTTGTACTATATAATATTAAGTTTGTTAGTTAATATCGGTATTTTGATAACAAGCCATAATTTGTTAGACACACACACGTACATACACGGGCAATCAAAAGTGATTGCATGGTTCTTTTTTGTATAATATTTACAATGTTTTTCAAGTAAAAATTTTTTTGTTATATTTTTATAAAAATATGGTCCATGCTTTAATCGAAACCACATAAGTCAAACTTTAAAAATTTATACAGAACGTAGAAAAATTCAACAAATTTTCATCTAAATTTTCTACTTTTGGGTACGTAGATAGATGGTTATATATGTAATTCTAGTGAAACAAGTGAAAGTTTTAAGCGGATAAAAAATCGCGTTAATTTTTAATGAATTTTTTTCCGACGGTTTTGCGGTTTTATGCATATAACAGGTGTAATTTATAAAATATAGTGTTAATTTTTTTTTGTTTGCAAACGGTCTTGCGCATTTTATTCTACAAGAAATTCGCTTTTATGTATATGGTAAAAAGTACAAGCCGTCCGCAATAAAAAATCATTAAAAATCTACGCGATTTTTTAGCCGCTTAAAACTTGCACTTGCTTTTCTACAGATCCATCAT